TTTTTTTTTTTTTTTTTTTTGTCTAATATAATAATGAAAAAAAGAAAAAAAAACAGTTCAAATTATTCTTATTTCCTTTATCTTCTTTTTAATATAATACCTATGTATTTATATATATATATATTTATAAATGTGTAATATTTATGAATAATGATAAAAGCATTATACAAAAGCATTGTTAATTTTTTGTTGTCATCCTTTTTTGAAAATATAGAAGAAAAACAATTACAAACATCACTTTTAAGAGGAAAAATACATTTACAAAATGTTAAAATTAAAAAAAACTTTTTTGATACTTTATATTTGCCATACACAATTAAATATGGTTATATTCGTTCATTAGATTTACATGTAAGAAAAAAATTAAAATAAATAAAAAGTAATAATAATAATAATAATAATAATAATAATAATAATAATAATAATAATAATATATAAAAATTGTAATAAATAAATATGATATAAAAAAAAATGAAAAAATGAATAAATTTATTGTAAAAAAAAAAAAAAAAAAAAAGATTTACATTTTCAATTTCTGTTATATTTATCCTTTAATTATATTATTTTTATATTAATATATTCTGTATTTTTTTTAATAATATTTTTTTCATAATATTTATACTTTTTCTAATATTTTTTTAGATGCCATTATTTTATTTGTTTCAAAAAGCAACTCTAAAAGTTAGTGATGTGGTGATAGTTATTAAAGAAAAAAATTTTAATGAATTTAATATAGATGATGAAATATATGGAATAAAAGAATTTAAAAAGAATAATTTAAAAATAGAAGATATTAATAATAATATATATGATTTAAATAAAAAAATACATAAAGGGATAAATTATTTATTATATGAAGTTTACAATAATATGTCTATTGATATTGAAAATGTAGAAGTAATATTAGAGAGTGCAGAAAAAAAAAAATACATTGTAGGTTTATTTATAAAAAATATAAATAGTGTAAAAAGTAATAATGATTCTAATAAAATAATCAAAGAATTTTCATTTGTAGACATAATATTTTATATGAATGATGATAAAGCTAAATATCTAATAAATAAAGTAATCAAAAAGGAGGAAAAAAAATTAAAAAATAAAAGAAACATAAATGAAGAAGAAATATATAATAAAATAAAAAGTATATGTTTCAATTTACACAAAAAAAAAAACATAATTTCCGAAATTCCTGTTATTGTAATAAATACAAATATTTATCTAAGCAATTGCAATGAATATGTATACAGAAATTCGAAATATATTTTTAAAAAAAATAATTATTTTGATGTCACTTGTTCTCATTGTGATAAATATTTATATCAATGTAAAGAAATAAAAAAAGATAAAAATATTTTTCAAAAAATATTTTCGAAAAAAGAAAATAAGCAGAAACAAAATAGAGAATCCATTTATGAGGTAAGTAATAAAAGTATTAATAATGATAATGAGAAAAATATAAAAGTAAAGAGTTTTGTGAATATTGCAAATAATGAAATTGATGAACAGTTAGTTCATCAAAATAATAAAATAAAAGAGGGATTAGATGAGGATAATGTGGGAGAAATGAACGAAAGTAATGTATACTTTAAAATAAATAGTATGAATGAAAAATTTCTAGAAAAATTCGAGTTATTAGAAGAAAATATAAATCTTCGAGAAAATGAATATATGAGTTTTGAAATAAAAGTTGATAAATTGAATTTTATGTTGTCATTTAAGCAATTAAATTATATTTTTGATTTTTTAAATTTTTATTTTATTTATGGTTATTTTGTTAATGGGTTAAGTGTAGAAGAATGGTTAAATATACCAGAAATCAATGATATTTTAATATATAAACGAGAATTAACTAAAAAAAAAAATAAAGAAAAATATGACAAAGATTTTATTGAAAAATTTGAATATTTACATAGTTTTCAAATTATTTCGAGTCTAAAAAGACATGTTCTAGAAAATTCAGAAGAAAAAAATAAAAATAATTCTAAAACCTCTGTTTCTAATGATAATTTATCTGTAACTTGTAGTTATAAATTTATGATAAAAAAAATGAATTTAAATGTATATAGTTTAGAAAAACTCAATAAAATTATACAAGTAAATTTTAATTGTTTTGAATACATTTTAAAATCATACATTAATAATGATTTTGCCTACAATATACTACTAAGTGATATAAATGTGTGCTTTCATCATAAAAATAAAAAATATCCATTACTTGAATTTTTTCATAATAATACAAATGAAAATTACAAAAAAGAAGAAAAGAAAAGAGAAAATTTTAAAAAAAATAAAAGAAAAGGTAAAAATTACATTTTTAATCCTCATATGAGCAATAATACGTATTTCAAAAATAATTCAACTGTAAAAAATAAAACAAACAATGTATATATGAATGATAATTTAAATGAGGTAAAATTTAAGGATAGAAATCAAATGAATCTTGTATTAGATGAAAAATCATTCAATTGGAATTTTTATGGTTATAATGACTTCAATAATAAACAGGATGAGGATTTATTGAAAAGCAAAGCACTTTCAATCTTAATGTATAAAAAGTTTGAAACTTCTCAAAGTAAAATGTACATTAAATCTAATCAAAATATTATAATTACTCTAGGTATAAAAGAAATATACAGTATTTTAAACATAAATTATGATTATAAATCGGTAGATTTAGAAAAAAAAATTAAACGTTTTAAAAATGTATATTATTATTATCTATTAGGGAAAAAATACTGTAAAGAATTATATATAGCATCAGAAAAAAATTTTGTTGATATTAATATTGATTTTATTAACAATATTTATTTTAATATTGTTATAAATAAGAAATATTCTATATTATTATGTTTTAAAAAATTTCTATTAAATTCTTTTTTCTTTACAAAAACTTATTTACATACCCATTTAAATAATTTATCTATGTTAAAAAATTGTAATGAAGTACCAAAAAAAAATGAGAAAACAGATATTCCTAATAATTCCACTGAAAATGAATTTTACAATTTACATGTTACTAATAATAATAGTCCTAGTTTATGTTTAAAAAATGATATAGATGAAATTTTTAATGTTGATACTTTGAAGAATAATAATAATAAAAATTTATACAATGAAAGTACAAAGAAAACATTTGAATTAGATGATATGAATGCTAGTTTAAATAGTAATCAAAAGAAAATTAATAAATCTAATATTTATAATGATGTTTCACATATAAATGATGAATTAACACAAATACATGGAACATATCATCAAGAGCTTTTAAAAATGAATAATTTAGAAGAATCTGAAAATATAAAGAATATTTACAAAGGTAATCAAGATGACTTAAATAAAAAATTACATTTAAATAATTCAATTGAAAATGGATACAATAATTTGTATAATGCATCTAACAATCAGGAAATTACAAATGATACATATAATATATATAATAATGAAAATAAAATTTTTAATAATGAAAAAAAATATTTCAATAGTAACCTAAATAAAGAGTGTTTGAATGATGAAATAAATATATATAAAGAAAATATATGTATGAAAAATTATAGAAATGAAAAAGATAAGAATATGTTAACTACAATTAAGCAGAAAAGAACGAATTTTAAATTTTCCATTTTTATTTTAAGAAAGAGAAAAAAGAAAAAATTAAAAAATATTTTGCTTCATAAAAATAAATCAAATAATAAGTACATAATAAAGCCATTAAAAATATATATTGATGAAATCACTTATAATTTTAAAGAAAACAACGACAAAAAGTTAACATTTATTCATGGAAACAAGAATTATTTAAACTTCACTTTAAATGATAAAACTATTTTTAAAATAATTTTCTTTTATTATCATTATAAATACTATATATATAAAATAATAGAAAAATTCGAGAAGAAAAAAAATTCTGATTATCTTAATTTAAATACTATTGATATACGTAGTTATAAAACTCTACAAATTTTATTAGATAGTTCTACATTAAATAATCAAAATGAAAATAAACGAAAAAGTCAAAAAAATGAAGTAAATGAAGAGGAAGAAAAAAAACAAGAAGGAAATAATAACAAGAACTGTTTTGAAAACGACCTATATAAAAAAAGTTCACACATTTGTGAAAATAAATATGTGAATAACTTTTATAATAATTCTAATCTTTTTAATGAAGAGAAAGAAAATGAATTCAAATCAAATAAAAAATTGAAGAATAAACAAAATTTGTTGTCATCATTAAATAAGTTAGATAATATATGTGATAATATGGATAATAATTCACAAAATAAAATAAATAGTAATGAAAATTGTGAATTAAATGATACCAATTACTATTATAATGAAAAAAATAAAAAAAAAGATGAAGATATAAATAATAATAATAAAAATTCAATAATGAAGGATATAGAAGAAAAAAATATAAAAAAATGCAAAATTGATATTGAGAATAGCGAATCAAAAGAAGAAAAAAAGGAGAATTTAATAGATTATTACTCTAATGGAAAACATGAACATAATTTAAGAAAAGGAAATAATATTGAATCTCATAAGGAAGAAATGCAAGAATTTGTTACTTTCATAAATAAAATAAAAATACATATTAATGATCATAAAAAAAATAATCGTATGATATCTATTCATCTTTCAGATATTTTTATATACTTCTTTAATCAAACAGAGATTTCTAATTTTATTTTTAATTTGAAGAAAATTAATGTTCTTAATTGTTTGTCTAATAATGATAATTATAATAGTTTTTTTCCATATATAGAAAAAAAAAATTATACAAATAATTTAAGTAAAAAAAATTCAAAATTAAATGAAAAAAAAAAAAATTCCAATGTGAATAATATATATTTTTATAATAGCATTTTTAAACTAGTAAAAAATGGAAATTTTATTTTATCATTTTCATCAAAAAACAGTTCATCAAATAATGTTTCAGTATGTTCTCAAAAGGATCAATATATAGATATCAATTCAACAGAAAAAAATTATTTTTTAAATAAAATTGAATATCAGACATATAATGAAATTAATTATTTAAAAGTTAATAAATATGAAGAATTATATAATATCTATAGTGACAAAATAAATTGTAATAATATAGAAAATTATGATATTAATAATTGTACTAATAGCAACAGTTTTAATAATTCAAATAATAAATACTTTAATAATACAAGGGATGATAATCAAAATGACTTAACATATAATAAAGAAAATTTGATTAGAAGAAATGAAAATGAAGATGTTAATACAAGTAAAAGTGAAAGTCAAGATACTTATGAAGGTGAAAGTGAAAGTGGAAATGAAAACGAAGTCAATAATGAAAATGAAAATAAAGATTCTTATATTAAAAAAAAAAGAAACCTAATGAAGAAGCATTTAAATAGTACTAATGTTTTTTTAAAAAATAAGGATGTTAATGATGTTAATGATGTTAATGATGTAAATATAATTCAAAGAAGTCATAAAAACAATATTATATGTAAAGAAAATATACATAATCAAATGTTATACAATGAAAAAAATTCTAATAATGGAAGTTTTATAAAGGAAAACGAGAAGGTAGATAATGATGATATTCTTCTTAATAATATATATAATAGGAATAGAAATAGAAATAATATTAATTTAAATAATACAGCATATTATGAAATAGAAAAACAAAACTTTCTTTTAAATAATTTGAATAATAAAACATACTCAGAAAAAGAAAATTGGATTACACATCAGAATAATGTTAATAATTTATTAAGTTTAAATAACTCAATAAAAAATAATAGCAACTTCAATTCATCTTGTATTCTTATGAATAGTGTATCATCATCAGTAATTCAAAATGATAAATACAAAGAAGACAATGTAAATGAAGATGTAGAAGAAGAAGAAAAAGAAGATGAAGAAGAAGAAGAAGATGAAGATGAAGAAGATTTAGAAAAAAAAAAAAAAGAAAATGAGAATATAAAAAGTTTTGAATTTCACATGTTAAATTCTCAATTAATTATAGATTATTTATATTTTATTAACTTATTTAAATGGTTTAATAGACTAAGTAGAAAATTTGAAAAAATAAAGGAAATTTCTGATTTTGAATATATTCATAATACGAATGAGGAACTTAATATAAATAATGTAAAATATAATTATAATTTTTTTATACAGAATAATAGAATTTATACACCCATATACAATTTATCAATTACACAATACACTTATTATGATAATTTAAAAAATAATTCTTATATTTCCTTTTTACCAGTTTTAGAATTTCATTTTTCTTGTTCATATAAATCATTAAATAGTAAAATAAAGAAAAAATAAAAAAATTTTTTTTTTTTGAAAGAATGAAATATATATAAATATATATAAATATATATATTAACATGATAATTTTTATTAAAAAAATTTACATATATATTTATTTTTAATAATACTTCATATATTTCATTATATTTCATATATTTCATTATATTTCAATATATCGTTTTATTTGAATTTTTTTTTTTTTTTTTTTTGTAGATAATGATGAAAATATTAAGTCTATACAAGTAAGAAATTTAGGAAGTAAATTAATTATACCATCTATAAATATATATAAACACAAAAAAAATAGAAAATTTTATATTTGTGTTCTTAATTTTAATGGAAAAAATAAAAATAATGAAACCATAATAAACGATATAAGATTTCAAATAAATATAAAAAGAAAATTAAATTATGAAGTTTTAGAAAATCAAGAAAATAGTAGTAGTTATGAAAATTTAAATGTAAGTAATTATGATAAAAAATTATCTTCTTTAAATACTTTTTTTACAGCCATATCAAAAAATTCATTTTATGGGGACGTTAATTTCAACTTGAAAAATTTTATTAATGCAAAAGAGATTATAAGTTTTTATAATGACCCAATTATTTTAAATTTTTCAAATAATATTTTAAAAAATGTAATTATATGTTATAACACTTTTTCTTATTTTTTAAGTAGCTGCAGAAAAACGAACAATAATAATAATAATAATAATAATAATAATGATAGTAATATAATAAAAGATATATTAGACTATTTATATAATCAAAATGATCTTTTATTTGAGTATTTTTTAGATGATATTCGTTTCAATTTTTATGATGGGAACAGTAATAGAAATATGCCTCTTATAGTAGTTAGTATATTTAATATAAAATTGCTTTTTCAAAAGGATAACAGTATTTATAACTTTTTAAATTTTCATTTACACATAGATATTTATGATAGCTATAAGATATTATATGATACTTTATTAGAGAAAATGGAGATATATATAATATTTGAGAATAATAAAAAGAAAATTAACATTCTTAATTTAAAATTAGAAACATCTTATATTAACGTTTTATATACTAATAAAAATAAAAATATTTTAATAGGTTTAATAAAATCTTTTCTTGACAAAAATTTATATTTTTTTTCCCCTTTATATAAAAAAATGAATATTATTAATAATAAGAAAAAATGTAATTTAAAAATAAATAGCTTTATAATAAAAAAAAAAGAAAAATTGTCTTTTTCTCAGATTACTTCAAAAATTTACAATTATACTGGATTACCAATTAATGTAAGATTAAAACAGTCATTAAGAAATAAAATCCAAAAAAATAATTTGAATAACAAAAATAAAAATAAATATATTTTTTATGAATTACAAAATAATGAGCATGGAGGTTTGTTGAATGATGAAAACGGGGAAGTATGTGAAGTAGTTGTTATTATAAAAATTTTTAATTATGTATTTGAGATTGTTGATATAGAAAAAAATAAAAACACATGCGAAATAAGATTTCTTCCAATTATATATGAATTAAAAAAGATGAATGAAAAAAAAAGGATTATCATAAAAAAATATGATTTTAATTTTGATATGTATAATGAGTATTCATTCAGAAATAAAACATTTAAAACTTTTATCAAATTATATATTCAAACAAATATTGATGAAAAAGGAATTGTGTCAATATATTTTTCTTCTAATTTGTTTATTAATAACACAACTAATAGTAATTTTGTTTTACTATTTCATCCAATTTTACATTATTTTCAATTATTTAATGAACAAAATAATCAAAATAGTCTTAAAAATATTCAGAACATTAAAAGCTTTAATAATAATAGCATAACGACAATTAAATCAAATCAAAAATATTTCTTGCCACTTATTTCCTTTGTTCCCACACTTATCTTATATGATTATTTAAATAGAAAAAATAATATTGAAGAAAGTAATGAAGAAAAATCTAACATAAAAAATAATTGTAATGATAACAAAAATTACAGGAATTATAATACAATAAATAATAAGAGTTCCAGTTATTATATTAACAATAATGATATTAATTTATTCAAGAAAAAAAACAAAAAAAGTGAAAGTTTTTCTTTTGATTATACAAATAGAAATTCTACCGTTAAAGAAATTCAAAACTTCAATAAAAGCAAAAATTATAATTACTCATTTAATGAGTTTCAAAATATATGTTCAAATAATTTAAAATTAAAAAATTATAAATTAAATTTTCAAAATAATCAAATAAGTGTAACGAATATTTCAAAGTATAAAAGAAACAAAAATTTAAAGTATGATTATATCGTTAAATCACTAAATTTAAATAAAATAAATGAAGAAAATAAAATAAAAAAAAATAAAATTTTAAAGAGATTAGAAAAATATATAAGTGAAAAAAGTAGCAAAAATATTAAAAGCATAAATTGTATATATATAATTAAAAAAGAATTTTATGATTTTTACATAAATAAATATGAAAATAAAAAAAGTTATTTTGAAATTTTTAATTTTTTAATGAAAAATGGAGCAAAAAAGTTGCTAAATAATTCTAGTATAAAAGAAATTATATGCAGACATTCATTTGATTTTTTAAAATATAATATATACGCTCAAACATTAAAGCTTAAAACTTTGAAAATTATTTTTTATGATAGGCATAATGGATATATAAAAGAAGAAGAATTAGAAAAACAAAACATGAAAAATGAAGATGATAAGTATGAGGAAGAAAATATAAATGAATATGAAGGTGAATATAAAGGAAAAATAGGAAATGATCATACAGAAAAAAAGAATTATGAAGGATATAATCATAACAATATAACACATTTAAATAATTATAATGATTATAGTAGTGTAAATAATTCTATTATTTCTAATGATAAATTATGTATAAATGAAAGAAATTTAAATAGTTTTTATTATAATAAAATGGGTTCTAAATTAAATAGTCTCATAAAATATGATATGAGTAAAAGTTATTCTGGGAAAAATATATTTAGTAAAGAATTTTTTTATTTATACAATTCAGATGAGAAGAAAGGTACTAAAGAAAATTACATGAAGTCAGAGGAAGAAATAAGAAAAAAAAAAAAATACATATTCACAGCAAAAAAGCAAAGTAATTATAGTAATACAATAATATGTGAACAAAAAAATTTAGAAGTTAATAAAATATACTCATTTGGTATATATATAGATTATATATTTGAAATTCATAACTTTTTATATGAAGAAATAAAAATAGGTTATTGTCAAAATTACTATATAAATAATTTACTAAAGAAGATAAAAAGAATTAAAAGAGAAATTATTTCACCAAAATCTATAAAATATTTAGATAATATACCAAATTATATTAAATTATATTATGTTTTTAATCACAAGAATTATGTGTTTAATTTTTTTTCAAAAAAAATTCAGTTACATCAATTTACAAATACACATGATAGATCATTCCGAATTAAAATGTATATCGGATATATTAATGATAATAAAAATAATATTATATATAAAAAGAAAAAATATAAATTGAATTATTTCTTAAAAAAAAATTCAGAATATAACAATAAAAAATACATATATCTGGAATCTAAAGATTATGAGTATTTATGTAAAGAAATTCCGAAATTCTTCTATTGGAATTTAACCCTAAGAAAAAAAACAGATTTTATAAATACATGTAATGAAAATAATTTTAAGCATGTAATTGATAGTAATGTATTACAATTATTAATTTATTCATCATTTTATTTTCAAAACAATTTAGACAAAGATCTCATAGTAAAATCAAATGGAAATTCACAAAAAATTAAAAAAAAAGCAGGAATGTTTTTCGGTGAGGTTCTTAATAACAAAGTAATTTTTGAAATTTTTTATAATAATCAAATATATGTATCAAAAAAAATAAAAATAAATGAAGTATGTATAAATAAAAAAATAATATTAACAGGTAAAAATAAAAAAGAGAATATATTTTTATCTATGAATATTACTTTAAATGGTAAAATATATAATACGAAAACTATAACTCTAAATAATAGATATACTATTATTAATAACACTAATCGAATTTTATATGTTCAAGAAATTAGTAAAGAATTTAAAATTATTAAAAAAGAAAAAAAAAATACAGATTATAATAATTCAGTTTCACTAGATAATTTCTATAAGAAAAATTTTTCACCTAATAATAAAATGGAAAAAATTAATATTATAAGTGATATAAATGAATTAAAAGGAAAAAAAAATAAAGAAAAAAAATTTGAAGAGAGGGTAGAGGATGAAAAAGATGAAAAAAGAATTCATCATTTCAAAAAAAAAGAATATATAGATTTAAATGATAAAATTCCAAAAAATACATTGAATATAATATCTATTAAACCACATGAATCATTTTATTATCATCCAATAAATACAAATAAATGTTTTTTAAAATTTTCATATGCAGATATCAATGAATGCATGAATAATAATCATTTTATGGATCGCAGAGGAAGTTATGAATTTATGAATAATGAAAATGAAGTAATGAACTTATTTAACGATTATTTAAAAAAGAAAATAATTAAATCTAGAAGTTCATCACTCATAAACGAAGAAAATTCAAATGATTATTTAAAAAATAACGAAGATTTTTTTAACTTATTTTATACTAGTCCTATAGAAATTGAAAAAGTTGGAAATTTTAAAATTTTTCATAAAACTATTAATAAAGTAGAAAAAAAAATCAAAGATACTGAAAAAAAAAAAATTTTTAATAATTTAGAAAGTTCAACTGAGATAAAAGAAAAGTTAAAGGAAAATGATTTTTCTAATATAGAAAATAAAAGAAATGAAAATAATTCATTACATAAAAGTAGTATAAATGATGAAGCTTCTTTAAATTATGATGATATTATTTGGAATGAAGGAAATTACAATAAAATAAATATTAATAATGAAACAATATTAATTGATGAAATCAATATTAATGATAAACATATTTTAAACGATGAAACAATGATAATAGAAAATAACACTTTTTGTCTTGAAAATGTTACGGAAAAACTAGATGGAGAACCCTCTAAAAATTTTATAATTGATTTTAATGAAAGTGAAAAGTTGAATTTAAATAATTCAAATGGTTTGAAAGATAAAAATGATGGAAATTTAAATGATGAAAAGGATAATATGAAATTGAATGATTTAAATACTTATATAATACCTATAGAAAATGAAGAAGAAAATAATGAAGGAAATGATGACAAAAATAAAAATGAATTGGTGAAAGAATATCAAGAATATTATTATGAATATAAAGAAGAGAGTGTTATAACTGAAATTAATATAACTATGAATAGAAACACTAATATTGAAATAAATGTATCTATTGAAAATAATCCTGATACTATAATTTATAATAAAACAAATTACTACTTAATTTTTTATCAAAGAAAGACTAAAAAAAAAATTGTGAACTTATTAAAACCTTATGATAAAGAAATATTTGGATGGTCAGACGTATCAAAACCAAAAGTCATAAAATGCTTTTTAATTTTTAAAAAAAATGAAATATATATTTTTTCTTGTAATTTAAATATTGTAAAAGAACACAATAATATAATTTTAAATAATAATAAAAGAATTAATGTTTTAACAAAAATTGAAAATGGCAAAAGAGTATTTTGCTTAGAAGAATTATGTAAAGAAAATGAAGAAAAGTCATTAGACCCATTTATATCTTCTAAAGGTTCTAATAAGTTTAAAACACAACAAAAATTACATAAAATAAATTTCTATAATAACAATGAATCTAATGAATTAAAAAAAAAGAGGTATATTAAATTAAAGAAATATAGTTTAAATAATAAAGTATCTCTAATAAGCAAAAAACATTTTAATATAGTATATTTAAAAAAGAAAAGGAAAAAAAAAAAAAAAAAAAACAAATATTTTCATTTTCGTTCATTTTTCATTTTAAAAAATATCGATTTAAATAATAAGGAAAAAAAATCAGAAAATTTAAAAAAAAAAAAAAATAAGGGAATAAATAAAAATATTTCTCATACAGAATTAAAAAAAAGTATCAGTTTCAAGGATTTAGAAAAAAATAAGAGAAAAATAAAGTTAAAAAAAATCTTTTTAAAAAAAGGAGAAAATATATCTGCACCAAAAAAGTCTTTATCAAAAATCAGAAAAAGTCATCCAAAAAAATACATAAATAATTTTTTTTATGAAAATAATTATTTTCATAAAGAAAAAAAGTATTCATTATCATTAAAAAAAAAAAAGTCTATTGCAGAACATAATGACATTTTAAATGTAAAATACAAAAAAAAAAAAAATTATGATGAAAATATAAATGAAAGTTTTTTAAGTTCTAATAAAGATTCAAGTGATGGTAATACAAGTTTGAGTAATAAATCAAATTTATACAAAAATAAAAATAGTAAGAGTTCTACGAACAGTTACGGTGAAAATGGTGGTGAAAATTATGATGATATATATTTAGTTAATAAAAAGAAAAATAAAAAAAAAATTAAAAGAAAGCTTAGTGATTATATTTTTAAGAAAATTAAAAAAAATCGTAAAAAATTAAAAGGTTTAACAAAAATTTACCCTATTTTTTTAAAAAGAAGTAGTAGAAGTGAAGAATTAAATGCAATGATTAGAAATTATTTATCTAATAAAGAAACTAATATATGTAGCCAAGATAATATAAAAAATAATGAGGAAAGCAATACTCTTCTTCATCCTTATTTAGATAGTGAAGAAGTAAATCCGCAAATTTTAAAAAATTGTAGTAGTAAAAAACAAATAAAAGAAAATTCATCAATAAAATTTATAACTAATTTGCAACTAATTCTTAGTGGTATAAAAATAAATTTATTTGAACATTCATCAGATTATATGATTTCTTTTGAATTAAATGATTTATTATTTAAAAAAGAATATATAGAGAATATAGATTATTATAATGTAGATATAAAAATAAATAATATATTATGTTATGCTATTTATAAATATTTAAGCGCGTATGCTATTTTATATACAAATAATGATATTAATTTAAAAAATAATCATTTAAGAATGTTAATTAGTGAATTACAAGTAAAAAGGAAGTTATTTTTAGATAAAACGTATGATATTAAAAGCCTTAATTCATCTATGTCATCATTAGGTAGCAACATAAATAACATATCAAACGAAAATGATATCGTTGAAAATTCGGAATTTTTAATTTGCAATTTTCAATATATAAGAAAATGTGAAACTCTTTTTTTCAAATATTTTTTATTAAGTATAAAACCATTGGTAATTAATGCTGACATCAATTCAATAACTATTTTGTTTTATTTTTATAAAACTTTTTACACTTATAACAAAAAAAAAGTAGAAAAGGAAAATGTAGAAAATTATTCTGATAGCTCTAAAAGTGAAAATAATAAAATTAAAAATGAAAACAACGTAAATGAAATAAAGAAAAATTATTATTCTTCTTTTGATTCATTTGGAAATATAGAAAGAACAGAAGAGAAAGAGAAAGAGAAAGAAGAAAAAGAGTGGAACAAGAAGATGGAGTCATTTATAAAAGAGGACAAAAAGAAAAAAGAGATTAAGGAAACACAAAAAATAAAGGAAAATGTAGAAAAAAATGAAATTAATAAATATGTATATTTGCAATATATAAGTATAGATAACATAAATATATTATTAAATTTTCAATCAGAATATAAAAAAGAATTAAATAATCATGTTAATGATTTGTTTTATAAAGAATATATTAGTGCATATAATAAATTAGGTGATATATCAAATTGCAATATTTATTTAAAAAGTTTATCAAATATACACATATTTACAAATTATCATCTTCTTATAAATTTTCTTCAAAATTTCTACTATAATCAAACAGTAGTTAATATTTCTAATCTTTTAATTTCTTTTAATATAATTGGTAGTCCCACTTCCTTAATTGCTCATATAAAAAAAGCATTTAATGAATTTTTTTATATTATTAATGAAAATTCAATTATTAAAAAGGATTATAATATTATGATACAAAAAAAAAATAAAAAGGAGAATATTGAAACTCCTAAAAAATATGAAAAAAATGAACTGATAAATTTACTAAATGAATCCAATGAAAGTTCATTTATTGATGAAAAGGAGGATACTGTAAGTAATAAAAAATACATTATGCATATTTTAAATGATTATAATTCATATCAGAATAATTTTTTTAATGAAGAACAATATTTTAATAATTTAAAGAAAAATAAACGTTGGAATGTAGTAAAAAGAGAAGAGGAAATTCCTTTTAACAATTTAAATTATTTTCACAAAAATAAATTAAAGAACAGAGAATTCGATAATCTAGTTATGGATGATAATGCTTCTCTCAATTCTGTACTTTTTAATGATAGAAAAAATGTTCTTTTGGTAAATAAAGAAGATAATAGTAAAAATAAAAATAACATTAAAAGGGGTTATGGTAATAAAGAAATAAAAAAAGCAAAAAAAAAGTGCTTCCCCTTTGCTAGACAAAAGTGTATATCAGATGTTCAATATATATGCACAAAAGGAAGGAGAATTTTAATTGGATTATATGTTTTATTTATTCAGTTGATATTATCGTTGCTTTTTTCTATTACATTAATTTTGCAATCATTAATTAATTTGATTGAAAAAATAAATATTAATAATGTTGACAATGTATTCTTAATATTTAATAAAAAATATGAGAGAAAACAAATATTTGTTTTTAATAATATAGAGGAATATAATAATTTTAATATCACAAAATTATTTTATTATTATTTAAGTATATATATTAATATTGTAAAATTTATTTGTCACAATGTATTATATAAAATGAGGAAGAATAAAAAAGATTTATCAGGAAAAAATAAAATTTTCATAAAAAAATTAAAATCTAATTTAAAAAAAAAAAGAAAATTTTCTTTTATTTTAAATTTTTTCCTAGATATCTTAAATATTATAAATATTTTCTTATTTGGTCATATTGTGTTTTCTCTTTTATTTCTTTTAACTATGAATAATTTGTTTCAAAAATTTTTGAAGTGGTGTATAAAATTAGTATATTATCAGCGTAATCAGAATTACCTAGATTTTTTAAATAAAAATAATATAAATCATATGAATATTATTAGTTATATAAAAATTAATCAAATAATAAATAAATATATTGTTTTAAAAGAACCATTTAAGTATTTTTTATCATATGAAGATTTTATGTATTCTTGTGCTCCTAAAAAAATGCATTATTTTGTATATACAAAGGAATTATTTTTTTATATTGAAGAAAATAAAATAGTTTTTTTATTTAGAAAAAGTGATTTAAAAAAAATTGATATTATTATTCATACAGGAAATCATAGTTTTGCAATTAATAGTTATTACAAAAGAAAAGGAAGTAAATTTATAAAAAAAAGTAGATCTAAAAATACTTTTTCTAATTATGCTATTAATTTGGGTAAAAAAAAAAAAGAGAAACAAAAATAAAATAATAAACATACATACATATATATATATATATACATATATTTTATATATACATATATTTTATATATACATATATGTTATATATATATTTTATATTTTTGATATGCAGATAATATGACATATGAAGAAAATAATAGCATTTCTACTTCTTTTTATAATAAAAGTAGTATATCTAATAATATAATAGAAAATAAAAATATAATATATTTGTTAAATTCAGAATTAGCATTAACAAAAAGAAATGAAATTATTAATTTAAATAATAGGAATTATAATTATATTATATCTGTAAAAATAACTATTAAAAATAATATGAACATTGTAGAAAGTGCTTATTATAACCCTAAGAAATTTTTTAAGTCTTACTCAAAAATTCAAAAAAGTTTCAACAACATTTACCTTCCTTTATTTAAAAACATAAATAATGATATAAAGTCAAATAAGGAAAAAAATCATAATAATAAAAAGAATATAGTAAAAGGAAATAATAACATAAGGTTTCATAGTTTTGTTATTGGTTTGTTTTCATTTTTAAAAAGGTATATAAATATATATAGATATATATATATATGTATTTAATTATAAAACTTATTTGTAATATGTATATTTTAATTCAAAATTTTATTTAAAATGATTATGTTTAATTATTAATTTTTTTTTTTTTTTTTTTTTAACAGATTTTTTAATTATTTTCCATTTACATCATTACCTAAATCAAGGTTAAAAAATAATATAACACATATAAAAAAAAATCCAAAAGATAAAATAGGAAAGGAAAATATGCAAAATAAAAAAATGAAAAATAAAGATTTTAAAAAAATGACACCTAATAACATTACTTTTAAATTAAATTTCGAAGATTTTCATTCTAGTTTAAATATTTTTGATTGTTTGTGCCGCTATTCTAATGATAATTAAAATTTCGTTTTTTTGTTAAGATTCATATTACTGAAGTATATTTCATAATGATGATGGCTTTGTTTTGCTACTTGTATTTCTCAAAAAAACAAAAAAAAATAAAATAAAAATTAAAAAAAGTAAAAAAATATTGATAATTAAGATTGGTTAGTATAAATTTGAGTATAATTCTCATTTTATTTTAAAATATGATTTATCTAATTTTTAAATATATATATTTTTTTTTTTTTTATATATATTTTATTAATTATATATAATTATTTTAGTATTATTTATTTTCATTATTGTTTTTTTTTTTAAAGTGTTTTTTTTAGAAGAATATTCTCATTTTACTTTATTTTGATTTATTTTATTTTATTTTACTTTATTTTATTTGGGTTTATTTCATTTTATTTTATTTTAATTTTTTTTAATTTTGTTTTAAATCTTTAAAATTTTACGTATTTTGATTTATTGTATGCTTATAATGGAAAATTATCATTTTTTAGTTCTTAATTATGTTCATTATTGTCTATTTATTTATTTATTTTTTTTTTTTGTGAAAATTTTTTTTTATAATTTTTTTAATTTATTTTGCATTTTATTTTATAATATACGGCCTTTCATAAGTAGATTAATGCATTTTATCTTTATATATGATTAAAGTTCTTTTATATTTTTATGTGATTTTAAAATTTAATAAAAAGTAGTAACAATGGTAATTATAGTTTTATAGTTTTTTACCGATTTTGTAAAAATATATTTGAGTTTAATGTTATTTAATTTTATTTTTTTTATAAAGAACTACAAATCATTTTAGTAAATTAAAATATGTATTAGCATTTATAAATTATTTATTTAAAAAAAAAGATAGAACATAAAGTCATAATATGTTCTTCATCTATAAAAATACTAATATATATGATACAAAAAGATATATATATATGTAAATTTTTTTTTTTTTCTTTTAATTTATTGTTTTTGTTTAAGGAATCTATATGTAAAAAAAATGTGTTATAGGTTATTATAATTTATTTTAATGAGATAAATAAAAAGAAAATACAATATATGAAGAATAAAATAAAATATTATGATGAAAATACATTTATGAAAAAAAAAAAAAAAAAAAAAATTACTAAAAATATGATAACAGAAAGGAAATATTACAAATGAAAATTATGAAAAAATTATTGCTAAAATAAAAATAATATCAAAAATATTACCACAAAGATATGTGAATTTAATTTTAATTTCTTATGAAAAAAAAAAAAAAAAAGTAAAAGATAAGATTTGATTAATTTTTTATAATAAAATAAATATTCCTCCTATTATTTATTTATTTTTATCTAAGAAATTGGACATTGTTCAATAATTTTTCTCAATTTGGGAACTAATGAAGATGAACCTATACGAAAATTATTAGGATGACAGGCAAGAGAACCAAAACAAGTTCTGGCTAGTAAAATATAATAGCTAGCTAAGTTTAAATCTCCTACTCCTCCTGCAACTTTTATACCAATTTTATCCTTTTTTTCAGGATGTTTTTCTATGTGTTGTTTAAATGCTTTTATAATTGCTTTAACAGAACTAGGAGTTGCATTAATTTTAACTTTTCCGGTTGATGTTTTTACAAAATCAGCATTACCTTCAAGTACGGCTAATGTAGTTTTTATAATTAAGTCATCTGTTTTTAGTTCTCCCACTTCTATTATAACTTTTAATAGTTTGTTTTTTAATACTTCCTTAACGAGTTTAGTTAATTCAGTTGCTTCTTTTAGACCTTCATCAACGTTTTCTAAAATTTTTTTATAATTTATTACCAAATCAATTTCATCAGCACCATCTTCTATTGCTTTCTTTGTATCTTCCACCACTTTTTCTATAGAATCAGTACCATGAGGAAAATTTATTACACAAGCAATTTGGGGTTTAAATGGATCTATTTCTTTCTTTATCTTTTCGTTGATAAATTTTACAAATTTAGGGTATACACAAACAGCAGCTGCATATGGACAGGTTTTCACAGCTTCTTTACATACCTCTCTTATGTCATCTTCTTTGTCATTTTCTCCTAATTGTGTGTGATCAGTTAAACAAATAGTCGTCCATGCAGCAAATGTTTCAGTGTAATTAGACATTATTTAAAAAAAAAAAAAAATTTTATAAAACAGCTAATATTTTTATAAATATATAAAAAAAGTTTATTAGCTATAAAAAAATTTTAAAAATGTATGAACATACATAAAAAAAAAAATTTTATTTCATATATTATCTTTATATAAGGAAAAAAAGAAATTCATTAATAAATGAAAGGTACTGTTTTTTTATTAATTAAAATTTTATCTTAATCTTAATTCTTTTAGTATAATTTTTTTTTTTTTTTTTTCAGAATAATTTAGAAAAATGAATCAGTTTTTTGTTGTAAATTTACAAATCAATCTCAATTTTAATTTATATTTTTTTATGATGGAAAATATATATTTACCAAAAATAAAATAAAATAATACGCATTCTTTTTTTATAATATATACAAAAAAAAAAAAAAAAATAAATAAATAAAATAAAAATTAAATAAAATTTTAAGCTTCTATAAGTTTAAAAAAATAGTTTTCAAATTTGTTATTATAAAAGCATTATTATTGTTGTGCTTGAGCAAAAAAAAAATACTAAACATAGAAAATATCTCACAAGTACTGTATGTACATATATATAGGAATACATATATATTAATTTACAACAATAAATATAAAATATATTAATGAAACGTGAAAAAAAAATAATTATTAAAAAAATAACAGATTTAAAAAAAAATTAAAAAAAAAGTCAAAAAATTAGGTAACTTAAAGATTCACTCATTTTATAAAATGAATAATTTTATACATATAATTAAAAAAAAAAAAAAAAAAGAAAAAAGAAAAAAAGAAATAACTTATTAAAGGCCCTTCTAAATCAATTAAAGAAAGATTTACATTTTTGAAAATTTAAATTTTTAAAAAAACTAGATTCAAATAAAAATTTTAGTATGCATTATGTAATATGAACACCTGATGGTAAATATATATATTTATGAAAGATTTAATTTGTAAAAAAAAAAAAAAAAAAAAAAAAAATAAAAATAAAAAAAAATAAAATTATTTCTTTCTTAATATATATATATATATTTATGTATATATTTATATAAAATGACATGAGAAATTTTTAAAAATAATTAAAGTTGAATTTATAAAATATTAAAAAAAAAAAAATGGATGTAGTAAAAAATTTGACATATGGTTTAAATTTAAAAAGTTTTTTGAAAAATGAAGATCTTATGAGTTTAAAAGAAGAAAATTTAAAACCGTTAAGAAACATATTAAATTTAAATAAAAACAATGATCCAACTGAAAATGAAAAAAAAAAAAAAATTTCTCAGAGTTGTGAATCTATAAGTTTTACAAAATTTTATAATAATGAAAATTTAGTTAACAGTTATATGAAAGGGAATGAAATAAATGTTGAGTATGTTCATATAAATAGAAATATTGTTCCTATAAGATTTTTTAGCGATATTATTGAATATTTAAAGATAATAAATAAAGATAGAAATATAGTTGTTGAGGAAGTAGATGGTATAAATGAAAAAGAAGATGATGATTCTAGTGAGAAAGATAAAACAGATTCTATTAAAAAAAAATCATTTCTAAAAAAAAACAAAAATAAAGAGAAAAAATTAATTAAAGAAGAAATCTTATTAAGTACTAAGGAAAAGAATTTAAAAAAAGATAGTAACAATTTAAACATAAAAAAAGAAGAAAAAGAAAAAAAGGAAAAAGAATTAATTAATGAAAATATTATAAATAAAGAATATGACAAATTATTGTATACAATAAAAAATACATTATGCTTTAAACATCCAACTTCCATTCAAAAAATTTGTATTCCATCCATATTAAACGGATTCAATACAATATGTATATCTCAAACAGGTAGTGGGAAAACATGTGCTTTTCTTATTCCTCTATTGATAAAATTAAATAATTTAAAGAATGAAAAAAGTAATATAATATTAAAGAATAAACAAGTGAACGATGATATTACATTTTTTATAAAAAGTTTAATTGTAGTACCTACTAATGAATTGGTTACGCAAATTTATGAACAAACTCTAATTGTTTTTGAATCTTATAAAAAATATTCCATTGTAAAACTAGATAAAGAAACAGAAATAAATGAAAATATAGATGTATGCATATGTACACCTTTACTATTATTAATTTTAATTAAGAAGAAAAAGGTAAGTTTAAAAAAATGTTTTTTTATAGTTTTTGATGAAGTGGATAAATTATTTGAAGTAAAATTTTTAGAACATGTAAATTATCTTTTAAAAGAAATTCAAAATAAAAAAATTCAAAAAATATTTACAACGGCAACACTACCAGGGAAAACTAAAAGTTTCATAAATACATTATGTGCAAATTATGCTATCGTATATTTTGGTAAAAATATAAATACTATAAATAATAATTTGAAACAAGAATTACTATATGTAAATAGTGAGGATGAAAAATTTTTAGTATTAAGTAATTTGATTAAAAATAAAGAAATTCATGTACCTGTTTTAATATTTGTTGATAGTATAACAAAAGCAAAAGAGATTTACACAAATTTAAGCAAAAGTGTATCTTACATTGAATTGTTCACCTCAGAAAAAACAAAAGAGGAAAGGAAAAAAATTTTTCAAAAATTTCAGTCAGGTTATATATGGTACCTTATATGTACAGATATTATGAGTAGAGGTATAGATATAAAAGGAATAGAAACAGTAATAAATTACGATGTTTGTTATGATAAATATAATTATATCCATAGGATAGGAAGGGCATGTAGATCTGACAGAAAAGAAGGGAAAGCAATAACATTTTTTACAAAAGAAAATATAAAATATATGAAAGATATTGTTAAATTTGTGAAAAATAGTGGTACACAAATACCTGCTTACTTAGAAAATTTTAATTTTAAAAAAATATCAAAATTTAAATTATCTGTTAAAAAAAATGCTTTAAAGAAAAAAAAAGTTAAAGATAAAAAGAATTTTAAAGTTGTAAATAAGAAGAGAAAAAAAATAAAGGAAAAATTTACAAAAGAAAAACAAGATAAAGAATTAGAAACTACAAAAGTTTAAGTTAAAGAAAACTTAAAAAAGAGAATAAAATAGAACAATTAAACAAAAAAAAAAAAAAAAAAAAAAAATAATTAAAAAAATAATGAAAAACGTGTTAATTCATATTTATTTTATTTCTTTTTTTAATCACTTTTCTTATTATATTGTACTTATGTGTTTTCTCTGTTCATTTAATTAAATAATATGATTCATTTTTTTTTTTTTTTTTTTTTGTAATTATATATATTATATAATATTATTTTAAATATTTTTTAAACAACGAAGAAATGTAAATTCTTTTAAATTTGTAAATAATTTTTTAAATGGATAAAGTTTAAGTCCAAAAAAATCTACATTTGATGTAATTTAAAATAATTATATAAAACTTATTCAAATAGTATTTTTTTTTTTTTTTTTATTCCTATAATTTTTGTAGACTATGTAAATTTTTAAGGGTTTAATTCTTTCCTTTTTTATATATTTTTAGAATTTTTGATTTTGTCTATATTTTATCTTACATTTTAAAAAACTTGTAAAAAAATATAAATAAATAAAAAAAGTACCTAATTTGCTGATTGTAAAAATCTTATTTTAATTGATACCTGTTCATTAATGTAATTCAAACATATCTTAATATTTGTAGTATTCATTAAAATTTTGACGTTTATTTTAGTTTATAAAAATATCTATTGCACTTTTATTATTTCTTATATACGTAATGAATATTCCTGTATTTTTTTCGACATATAGCAAATTTGCTACAATTTTTAAAATTATTCTTTTGTAATTTATCTATATAAATTAAACGTTTATTCTTTTGAGAGCTATATTTTATCAAAATTAATACATTTTTGGAAAGCATGAAGAATTTCTTTTTTTTTGTAAAGAAAAAAGTATATATATAAGTAATCCTGTAGATTTATTAAAAATAAAAACATCATTTAAATGTGTAACTGTAAATTTATTTATTACATGTATCAAAATAATATTTTACTGATAATTTTATTTTTTTTTTTTTATTATCTAAAATTCTGTAAAAAAATAAAAAAAAAAATTAGACAAAAAACAAATTGAAATTTAATATATTGAATTCAAAAAAATACATTAAAACTCAGAAAGAATAATTATAAAATATTTAAAAGAGATTTTCATCAAGCGAAAAGAATAAAAAAAAGAAAATAGAGAAAAGAAAAAGGAAAAAAAAAAAAAAACTAATAAACACAATGCAATATAATAAAAATGAATATACTTTAAACAAGAAATTTAAAATAATGTATTATTTTTTATAAATTAATTAAATTTTTTTTTTTTTTCTTTTTTTAATTATACAAAAATTGTACGAAAAAAAAAAATATATATATATATATATATATATATACAAATGTATTTAATCAACTTTGATAGATGAATATATTTTTCTTAGAAAAATAAAAGATGCCAAAAATCCTGCTGTTCCTGTATATATAAAGCAGGTATAAGACATTATAAAGGAATAAGCAAAATAAATAAAAGTTTCTGCAAAACTAGAAATATTTAATTTAAAGAAAAAGTAATAAATTGAATAAAGAAATAAAAATATTCCAGATGATCCAGGAGCAAAAAATGATTTCCACCACCAATTATAATCCTCACTTTAAATAAAAAAAAAAATTATTAAAAGATATATTTATATATATGTAATAAAAAATTGTGATAAAAAAAAAAAAAATAAATAAATAAATAAATAAGTAATAATATTTACCAAGATAATGTATAATAAATTAAGGCTATAGATAATTGGGCACTTAACAAGCCTAATAAGAATATGACTAAAAATAAAAAGCCTATAAAAAGAAAAAAGTAAATAAAAATATATACTTTTTGTTATATTATCTTTTTTTTTTTTTTTTTTTTTAATTTATTTTTATATTATTAAACATACCAAATAAATAATACATATTACTTTTCCATAATGATGTAAATAAAAAAAATAATTCTGTGTACATAGTTCTGAAAAAAAGAAAAAAAAATATACATTATATATATATATATATATATATATATATATATTTATTTATTTATTTATTTATTTATTTTTACATAGTGTAATAAATTTTAATTTTTTTTTAATTACGCAAAAAGAGTTAATCCAACTAAGAATGATGATAAAAAAAAAGAATTTAAAAATGGCTGTTTAGGAATATGTCTAGGAATATTATTAACACGTACAGGTAATTCTATTGGTTTTTTTTTATTTCCAATATATGATCCAATACATATTAATGGTACAGATATACCAAACCATATAACACATATAAATGTTAAAGATGAAAAAGAAATAGCAGTATTAGAATGTTCATAATGCAAAACAGTGTTTATTAGAAAAAAAATGACAAAAACTATAAACGGATAAATAAGAGAAGTTCTGAAAATGGTTAATTTTACATGTTTACTTTTAAAAAGTTTATATAGCCTCGATGAAGCATAACCAGATATACTACTTATAAAGATCCATATAAAAAACATAATTTGAATATATCTATATCTTTGTTTATACTTATAAACACCAATTAGTAGTATTAATGCACACACAATAATCATAAAAATTATTTGTATTCCTACTCCAATAAAAGCTGAGAAAAAAGTAGAATTTCTTGGTTTTCTAAAAACGTCTCCGTGTACTAACTTCCATCCTCTGTCATCAATATCATCAGTCTCAAATATGTTTGTATTAATTTTGTTATATTTATTTATATCTTTGTGTAAAGCTTTAATTAATATAGTACTTATTAAAAATGATAATAATATAACCAATATTATACTATTAATAATGGAAAACCAGTGTATCATACTTTGATCGTTTAAATTTCTATAATAATGTTCAGATCTATGTTGAAAAGAATTATCACTTTTTACATATCTTATATCATATTTAAAAGTTACATATTTTTTCTTCTCCATTATCATACTAGATTCATTTTCAACACAGTCATCATTTTTTTCAAAATCAATACTAAAAAAAAGAAATTCAAAAGAAAAGTTATTATAACTACATATATATATTTTAACTTGTATATATTTTTGTAAATTTTTTTTTTTAAATTTCTGATTTTACCTTTTTGGGTCTACCTCAAAGCCAACAATATAATTTTTGTCGGAATTTTCATTACTTGAATTATATAATATTGTAATTTTATAATGAGTATATAAATAATAATTCATCTAAATTAAAAAAAAAAAAAAAAAAAAAAGACAAACATATTTATTTGTATTTTTAAAAAAATTTTATTATATACATACATCATCAACATATCCAAGTGGTATTCCTGTATAGTAGAATCCTTTTCTTTTAGGATCTAATCTAAATATTTCCAAGTTATCAACTATATAAATTATATTATAATTGTATAATATTAAATGTTTATATTTCTCATATACGTTATCATCTATAAAGATTTTACAATAGAAAGCACATTTTTTATCCTTAAGAAATGTTGTTTCTATATTTGTAGAATGTAAAATATCTCCTAATAAAATTTTAAAAATATTTGGTGCCTTTTCGTCATTTACATTATTATTATCAAACGAACAAAGCGGAAAAGAAAAATAATCCAATGTTGTAACAGCTCTTTTACTAGCCAAATTTTTAACTTTAATTACAACTTTATCTCCCTCCTTGTAAGTCTAATAAAAAAAGAAAATAAAAAATAATAAGAAGAAATAAATAAATATGTAAAGTATCATATAGAAAGACAAAAAAAAAAAAAAAAAAATAGAATTTCAGAATAAATTAGAAATGTATAATGTTTATCTAATACTGTTGGATTCATGCCAGGTAAATATGTCTCAACATTTTTAAGAAAATATAAAAAAAATGAAAGAAAAATAAATATAGAAAATTTATGACTCATTTTATTAAACTATTTAAAATTATAAACATATTTATTCACCTATGAATATATAATTGTAACTTAACAAAATATATTAATACTTATAAGTTTAGAAAAATATATAAAAGAATAACATAAGATACTTTCAAGTATTATATGACAAAAAGTTAAAATAACAAAAAAAAAAATATGTTATAAAATAAAATAATTTAAAATAAAATAATATACAAAGATAATAAAATAAAATAAAATGAAATATGAAAATATAAAATAAAAAATATAAAAATAAATTATAATAAAATAAAATATATTATATAAAAATTTTTATCTCTTTTTTTTATTCATTTTTTTTAATATTTTTGAAACTTTCTTATTTTTTTGTTTTCATAAAGAAATGAAAAAAAAAAAAAAAAAAAAAGAAAAAATCGGAAAATAAAATTGTTACATACACTTTATATAAATTAATAAGGAATAAAAATTTAAAAATATTTAATATTTAAAATGTAGTATTTTAGTCAACAAATAATAAAAAAAAATTAAAAAATAAAAAGTAAACAATGCAAACTAGTAATACAATTTTTTGAAACATAAAAATTATTTTTTTTTTTTTAAAATCCTTTAATGTGTATTTTTATTTTTATTTTTTTTATTTTTTTTTTGTTAAGTTGTTTATATATACATACATATATATATATATATTAATAATGAATCATTTAAATGATAAGAAATACAATATAATGTATATTTATTTATATTATACCAATATATTTTTTGTTAGTTTTTATATTGATATTCTGTTATTTTTATTTTTTTTTTTTTGATAGAAAATACATATAAAAATTAAGGCATTCAATAATTATGATTTAATTTATAAAAAAATATAGAACTTTATAAGTAATAATATAAATTAAGGCAAAACATATTATTTAGTTGTTTGTTATAATGAAAATAATAATTTAAAAAAAATTAAACAAAGGAATAATATATAATAATAAAAGATATATATGTGTATATATTATATAAAATTTAAATTGTATAAAATATTTAAAATGTCTATTAAAATTATTTAAGATCATTTTTAAGATAATTTTTAAGATAATTTTCAAGATAATTTTTAAGATAATTTTTAAGATTATTTTTAAGATTATTTTTAAGATAATTTTTTTTTTTTTTTGAATAACATTTTTATTGAAAATAAAATTTTATTATTTTATTACTACAATTAATGATATTTATAAGCCATAATGATAATATCAAAAATATACTAATTATTAATAATAATAGAAATAATAATTTTTTTTAATTACACATAAAATTATTTCTTTTGTTTTCTTATTTCTAAAATGTAAGTGAAGATGAAAAGAGTTTCCTTAGTGTTTATTCTAATTTTTTTAATTTATATAAAAAATATAAAAAATGTAGAAATAAAAAAAAAGGTTTTTGATTTTAAGCATAATTATTTTAAAAAAATAACGCGGCAGTCGTATAAAGGGAGATTAATATACACAAACATAAGGTTTAATAATACGAATACTTTAAAAAATGAAACAAAGAAAAACCATTTTTCTGAAAAAGATATAATTAAAGAAAAATTAAATAAAATAAAGAAAATTAAAAATGTTTTTAATAAATATAATATAAAAATATATAGGGGGAGTATAAAAAATTTTGAAATAAAAACAAAACAGTTAACTTTATACAAATATAATTTAGCAAAGAAATATATTATTGTAATAATGAACAAATGGAAACATAAAATAATGATATATATGAAAAATTTTAAGAATTATTCTAATAGGATATTTTACAATTTAAAAAAAAAAATTTCTCACCAAAATAATATGTTTTATGTGTATGTAAAGAATATTCCTTTTTTAGATAAAAGAAATTTAGCAAAATTAATAAGTTACAATTCTGTTAACTTATTATTTTTATTATTTACCTTTTTATATTATAAAAGTGATTATATTTATAAATTTTTAAAAAAAAAATATGCTTTTATAGGAGAATTCAAAAACATAAAAACAGAAAAATATATAAAAATACATACATTATCTACTTTGTTTTTTTTCTTTTATAAGTTTTTTATTCTTAGACTTTTATTTATTCTTAATTCATATAATTTTTTCTCAAAGAAATTATATATATTAAATAATTTATTACACTTTATTTTTTTTTCTTATATTTTTATGTTTCCTTATTTTCTTATTCAAGCTAACTGGGGAAGTTTCTATTTGATTGATACTAAGAAAAGTAATACATTTAGAATTAAAACTTTTAACAATTATTATTATTATTATTATTATATACATATATATATATATATATTATTATTATTATATACATATATATATATTATTATTATATACATATATATATATATATATTATTATTATTATTATATACATATATATATATATATATATTATTATTATTATTATATACATATATATATATATATATTATTATTATTATATAATTTTTATTTTTTTTTAGGTAAATTTTTGGGAAGTGTTTTTTTATTTCAATTAATTTTAATTTATGCTCGACTCATTTTTCAAAATAATTTAATGTTCATGAAAAAGTGGACAGATGAAGAATTTTTTAATAAAGAAGAATTAATTAAAAATATAAAATATAATAAAAAAATTGATTTTTATGTCAATTTATTAAATCAATATAATATTTTAAAAAAAATTTATATTGGAAATAATAAATTTTATGAAATTATCTTATATTTACATAAATATAGATATTTATTAGATATTATATTTCCAATTAATAATTTGTTTTACATATATATTGCTCATTCTATTTTCTTTTATTTAAATAATTTATCTTTTGCTGGTATTTATATATCTTCCTTTTCGTTTGTTCTTTTGCTTATCAAAGCTATTTCTAATAAAGTTGATATGTATTTTTTAACAAAACATATTTAAAAATAAAATTTTTAATAAAAAGTGATATATTTTTATAATCAATAAAATGATTAAAATTTTTTTTTTAAAAAACTTTTATATATTTTTTTTTTTCGTTATTTATTATAATATTAATTTATATAAAAAATATATAAAAAAAAAAAAAAAAAAAAAAAAAAAAAACCTTTTTCACATTTATATTTTACCTTTATAAAAATATTTTATAGATATTTAAGACAATTTTTAATTTATGNTAATCAATAAAATGATTAAAATTTTTTTTTTAAAAAACTTTTATATATTTTTTTTTTTCGTTATTTATTATAATATTAATTTATATAAAAAATATATAAAAAAAAAAAAAAAAAAAAAAAAAAAAAAACCTTTTTCACATTTATATTTTACCTTTATAAAAATATTTTATAGATATTTAAGACAATTTTTAATTTATGTGTAAATATATTTTTAACAAAATTTTATATTTTTTTATAAAAAAAAAAAGAAAAAATTATTTCTTAAAATTTTATTATTTTTATACTATTAAGATATAATAAAGAGTTTTTATTTTTTTAATGATCATAATAAAATTTAGCTAATCGAGTATTAAACATATAATTATAAGATATTTTCATTTACATATATATATATATATATATATATATATATATATATATATATATATATATATATATATATTTATAAATATGAAAATTTTTCTAGTATTTTAAAAAAAGTGATACATTTATATCCTTTATTAGAATAATAAAAATGAGTTTACATTTTAGTGATGAAGATGATTTATATGAAAATAATGCTAATAAGGAAAAAAGTGAAAGTAATAATTTAAATTATGATTTTTTTACTGATGAGAAAAATGATAATTCAGAAAATAATGAAAAAAATTACAATGATGAAAATAATGAAAAAAATTACAATGATGAAAATAATGAAAAAAAATACAATGATGAAAATAATGAAAAAAATTACAATGATGAAAATAATGAAAAAAAATACAATGATGAAAATAATGAAAAAAATTACAATGATGAAAATTATATGCAAGGAGAAGAATATGATGAAATGAAAGAAGATAATCTTGAAGGAAAAAAAAAAAAAAAAAAAAAAAGTGTCGTTTTTCAATTGAAAAATTTATTTAATGAAGTAGCACTTAATAAAATTAATAGTTATATAGAAAAAAAAAGAAAGAATGAACATAGAAATAGTTATGATGATGATTCTAATTTGTATAAAGATGAGAATGAAGGAAGCACAGATGAAGATGAATTACAAAAATATGTTAGAGAAGAAAAAAATAAAATAAAACAAATTCTCCCTGAAAAAGATGAATTATGGGAAATATATTTATACTTAAATTTAAAAAAAAAGAAAAGAAAAATAGATTATGATGAAAAATATTATAGTTCATTGATTAAGAAAATATTAGAAAACGTAGAAAAAGAATACAAAGATATAATTAAAGAAAAATTATTTCAAAATAAAAATTTTGAAGAATATTTAATTATAACTGATTTTGTAGATTTCTTAAAAAGTAACAATATTCAGAATATAGAGAGAAACATATTAATCCCACTTATTAAAAAAAAAAACTCTTTAATAGAAATAAAAAAAAAATTAGTAGAATTATATAATAAAGGAAATTGTTGTAGTTATATAAAAGATATAAACTTTTTAAATGAAAAAAAAGAACAAAATTTAAATGAACAGGTTGATAGCAATGATAACATTAGAAATTATGAGAATTATAATAAAAAACAAAATACCAATTTAATAATAGAAAAAGAAAAATTAAATTTATATTTAAGTAAATTATATGATAAATATGCTATGATGATAAATAAAATAAAAAAACATAAAAGAAAAGATTTAAGAACAAATTTTAATTTATTTATGAATTTAATTAATGAAGTTACTTCAAAATTATATTTTTCTATTCATAATGTTTTTTTAATGGATGATAATAATTCAAATATAAATGATATTTATAAAACTATTAGAAGAAAATATAATATACATGATGTTTTAAGTAAAATACAAAAATTAACACAAAAAAAAGAAGTATACGAACATTATCGTTCATATTTAATATATAAATATAAAACAACTTATCCTGTTTGTGATAACATTTTTAAAAATCATATAATGAAAGATAATATCAACATATTTAATTTTAAAAAATTTTATAATACTGAATTTTTGAAAGAAAAGTTTTTCATCATAAGGGAAGATGAAGATACTGAAATACATAATACAAATATAAGTGATAATGAGAAAAATGAAAAAGGAGAAATAAATAATGAAAATAAAAAAAAAATGAACAATAATTCTCCTGAAGATTTATTTACAAATGATATATATAATGATGACTTTTTTAGTGTAAATATGGAAAAAAATAATTGTAAAGAAAATTTACAAGATAATAATAATAATTATCTTAATATTCCTGAAAAAAAAGAAGAGAAAAATCAGAATAATAATATTAATGAACAAAAAGATGTGGAAAATAATAATAATGTTGAAGAAACACCTTTAGAAAAAGCTAAAAGAATAGCTAGAGAGAAAAAAAAAAAATTATTAGAAAGTAGAATTAAAATTATATAAATATAATTAGATGTGTTATTATTATATTATACTTTATTTATTTTACTTTATTTTATTATTCTTTATTATATTTTATTATCTTTTCTTAAAATTTTTATATATTTTTATAAAAATTTATATATTTTTCATATTTTAAGATAATGTTCTAATATATATGAATTTGAAGCTTTTTTTTTTTTTTTTTTACATATTTATTCTAAAATTTTTTTTTTAAAT